GGTAAATTTCCTTTACTGAAACTATTAGTATTAAGTTGACAACCATGGATCATGGAGATATGTGTGGAAATTTATTGAAGTGTTTAGTCTTTTTTATGGGACATGTTTTTTACCCATATTCCTATTGTACAGTTTATGCATACCATTTATTGAACAACCAATTAATTAACGTGTAGTTTACGTCTTTTGGTCTGCCAAGTAAAGTATTGCCGCAAAGTTAAAGTATCAGCAAGCCCGAGGGAAATACCATTTTATCACGATCAAGTCAAGATATTGTGGGACTTCCATATCCAGACCGACCATGTTAATAGTTAGGCCACGTGGTACCTACTCCTTTTTACTAAGTGTTTTACTCTTTTTCTGAACTCTAGAATGTGACTGAGGAGTGAATATATTTGTCCTAGTATTTTTTTTAAAGCTTGACGGTGCCAGGCGGTTCTAATGACCAATTAAAACATACAAAACAATAGTGAATAATAATCCCTCTGTTCAGGGCACTGCACACTATATGGGTCATGTATAGTATGAAATCACCCCAACACTTCAATAGCCTACAATGAAATCAAACCAAAATATTGCGAAAACTATGAAGTTTTGTGTGCTCATATGGAACGAAAACAGAAAAAAACTAGTATACCAATAAACTAATATAGTAATCGGCTGCAAGTACACACATATCTATTATCTACGGACTACGCATATGTAGGGACACACACACACTAAAATTAATGGAAATAATTACCGGACTTTATTATTTACAGACCTTAATGCCACAGACATTATTTATACGGACGTATTCACTAAAGGTCTTCGGCGTGAAAGAAACATTCGTGATAATTATGACCGATAAGGTATGTCGTACTCTGCAGATAATGGGACTATAGGTAGGTAGTCAGTTGCTAAATCAGGCATTGTAAGTGTAACTTTGTCTCCAGTCCCGAGTGAGTATCTCTAAATAATTTAAGTTAACTCCTTATATTTCTTAACAGTGAGACGGTAATGTAATTGTTTCGGTGAATCTATTGCTAACTTCTATTCGTATTTTGGTTGTCCAAAATGAAATTAGGCTAGCGTACAACATAATTTCTTTAATAGTGAAGGTATTTTAGACCCTGGATCTAATTATCTGATTGGTGCTAATTGCACAAGAATGATCTGTGTCTTGAGGACTACATGTTATTTTGAAGTTTAATCAGATGAACAACCTGATTAGCAAGTTGTAACAAAGGAAATGCTGCAGGTCGCACAACGAGACGAGAAAAGTAGGTCAGACTCGTCATTACGACGTGAGCAGTACAAATACAGCATACGAGATAGCGATCCTCACTTATATTTCCATTAAATCGTATCTTGCAGCAGCTCTCTTTATTCGCCAAACTACACCATGATGAAATTCACCAAGACTCTTATCTGCCTGACCCTTGTGGTCCTTGTCACTTGCAGAGCCCTCGAGGAGGACGACCAGACCATTGGTTGGGGCAGAGCAGAAGCAGCTGAGGGAAGTATGGATCAGGGAGCTGTTGAGATGGAGCTTGCGGAGGAACTTGAGGATCAGCACCTTGGTCTCGGATCAGGAGAGGAAATATTTTAGATGATCTTAAGAGACAGCTTCATGATTTTGAATCGATAGTCGAGAACATTGCATCTTTTATTTGACTTTTTGGTGACGATTTAGATTATCATAACTTTGTGTTTACGATATTGAGCCTAAAAGCTTAAAAAGGTGATAACTGATTTTAACCTGCATTTACTAAACGATCATGTATAACTTGATATGCTAATTCTGTATTGATTAATTGAATTTTGAAAATTGTGTTTTAGTTGTTAAACTCAAAATTAAAAATCAGAAGAATGGGAAAAGAGGATTGTGGATCAGCGTATCGAATAAAACGTTGTTGGGAATTTGGTAATCTAGCTAGGCACACTCGAGGCACATTTAGGGCGCAAAACTGAAATTCCTGAGGCACAGTTGGGGCAAAAAGTTACTTGGGCACACTCGGGGGATAGTCGGGGCACACTTGGGGCACAGTCGAGGCAAAAAATGACTAGAAGCACAGTTTAGGGAAATTAAACACACTTGGGACACCATTGCTGTACCCCAACTGTGCCCTAAGAGTAGGTGTCCCCCAAGGCCAAGTGTGCATAGCTAGATTTAAGATTACCAACTGGCCGCGTTGTTACTATTTACTGTAACACAATTACCTAATTGGACTTTATTCGACCGGACATCGCGTGAACAGACATAATTTTGAACGGACATTAGAATGAAAGCTCAAGCGGCCATCTACTTACTCAACTTAGGACGTCCGCCATGAAAATTGGAACGGATAGTGAAATTAACGGACATGAACGCTTGGGCCTCTAGCCTCAAATTAATGTCCGTTCAAAATCAAATAAAGTCCATTATAATGGACGTTATAACGTAGGTATAACGAAAAGAGGGTCTAGTAAATCCAAATTATTTTCTTGACAAAATAGATATTTTTAACAAGATTTTTAATAAAATTGTTAATAAGTGTACTTATTTTCAAATTGTAAACAAACATCGATTTCAGGGTACATAGCGTACTAGATGCAGGTTGTAAAATTTTCATTCCAATTTTATACAACAATATGTTTTCACAGCAATTATCACGAATAGCATTAGTATATTATTTAATATTTAATTATCAGCGATGCTGCAAGAAATTTACAATTTCAATACTTATATAGAGGAGATTCATTTGTATTAAGTACAACTACAGGGTGTTACAAGACTCGTGTCTGAATTTGAAATTACAATTTTTCTATTTTACGATGGAGCAAATTAGATGCAAACGGTTTAGGAATGTTTGTTAGGTCATCCATTTTAGTTATTTCTTGCAAAACGAATTTTTTCATAATCTTGCATTAGCTTTCAAAAAATTCTTCGAAAAATTTCAAGATCTGCTATAAATATGAGAGTATAGTTGGTCAACGAAAGCTCATTTGGATCTTGAGCTACTTGTGTCTTGCTGCATGTACAGTTTCACAATTCACATGCATCCTCTCCGCCGAAACGGCTAGGCTACAATCATGAAGTGATGGGTCGGGCAGCGTCTCGCAAAAATCAGAAACAAATAACAATTATAGTGCTGCTGAACAATGGGATGACGGCCTTCGGAACAATTGCTTTCAAAATGGAAATTTAACAATGTGAACTGATAATTCTTGCAAGAAATAAGATACATTGTAATTGTGCCAATTTTCCCCGATTCATGGCTTTTGAGGCGAAGCCTAAAAACAAAAGGTAAGAACGAGGGTTCAAAATCGAGATTATTTTACATTTTAGTTTTTACGATATATCCTAAAATGTATATAATAACGATAAGCTAAACCAATGACCAAGTTTGCGTTCATTCGTACGAATGTATAATATTCGCGGTGATCGTTTTGAATTTTTTTAATTATTACAACACTGCAAATCTATTGCTATGCATTTATTGATGACGTAACAAATGGATATAATGTAATGTAGTCCGAGGAGTCTTACATCCTACTCGCGTCTTAAAACATAAAATGGCGTTTTCCTCGCACTGTATCATATTCATTTATCATTAAAAAAATAATGTAGATAGTCGTTACTGAGCGGCGCTCAGCCTGTCACTCCGCCGCGTATCTTCATTTGGTGTTCATGGTGTTTATGAACACTAAAGCCTGGGGTCCCCAGGTAACGCTCCTGAAGTTGCTATGGTAATACTAATATAAATATAATATTCGAAAAGTTAGTTTACACGACTTCCGGGATGAATCTCTGTCGTAAATACTAAATGCAAGACGCTTAACAGGGCAATAAAATCGCTACACGAATAAAATGTACGAAAGTACAAAATTGATCTCAGAAAAAAAGCAAATTCAAAATTCAGAGAAACATTTTTTGTTTTAAAAAGCAAATAATTGCCAATTCTGTTTTTTCATTCATTTTTTAAAATTCCAACATATGTGACCCGACCCGGGTCTAATTAAATCGACCTTATCAACAGCTTTCTAATTAGTGATCGGTGACGAAGCCTAGACACTAATTCACTGGCGTCAGATTGTGAATGTAATTGATTTACCGGGCCAATGATAAAGAGTGATTGCACAGGAAGTCAAAGTTTTGATAAAATGATCTACTCTCAAACGGAAGTTTTGTTTACTTCCGTGATCAACCTGTCTTCCGCACATTCCACGTTACACTTACTGATCCGGGACACAGAGCTATACAAATCTGATAATGAAGTGAAGAAAAGAAGAGGTGTGAACCATATGAAGGAAAGGAGTGATCACTGATCGCTGACGACGATACATGAAGTGGTGTGCACTACACAAGATTCCAGAGAGAGAGGGAGAGAGGGAGGGGGGCCTTATCAGTGTGGTGTCCTGCTGTCCCGGAGAGGTGGTAATCAGAGACCCCGTCTACCTCGCGTGATACCCGAGACCAGGTATTTACAGCAGGACCTAACTTGATTATCATACGGAGAAGGAGAGCATTCATCTATTATTTTATTAATATATATTTATATATCTCTACACACCTTCCCCTCTTGTCTTTTGCCTGTTGACGAGTGGAACACGTTGCTTCACCGCAATTAGTGGGATATTCCTGGCCCGGTTGAGGTGTCCTGGTGCACTACTCCAACCATAATAATACTTAGCTACTCTCCGCTCGTTTGCATTGCGTTTAAATTAGAACCCATACAAGCTTTCTGATACACGCTGACAAGCCGCAATTATCTTGTTATAATACAGCCCGTTTTTAGCACATATTTTTTTAGCACATATTTCCACACTCAACTTTCTCAAGAATTTGTTTTCAATGATCATTGTTGAAAGCTTTTCTGACTACTCATTATTTTAGCGGCATCATTGATCGCTGTTCAGATTGCTGTTCAGTTAAGCAGATATTTTTGCATATTACGTAGTCTCTTCATCCGTAAATATAAACGGGTTTCTTATTTTACAGGCTATCAACTGTAACACATTTTAACTTCGTCTTTCTGCTTAGTTTGAGAACCAATTTGCAATGCAATATCTTTCGTCAACTTCCTCAACGATGTAGTTCGGTTAACTAAGGTAAGTGTTCAGTGTTTGTGTAACGATATAAATAACATTGGGATAGGAAAACCTGGGGAATCAGTTCCTTGTCATGAAATACGGCTCAAAATATACTGCGAATCTCTCTATACCGGAACCTTGACATGCCGGGCCTCTCCTTTCCCGGCCCAAATGTTCAGTTAATTAGCTAGTTTTGTGCAAGAAATGTGATGTACAAAACTAGCTAATTAACTAACTAACATTTGGCGGTGATTTTGGTATATTTTTACTTTTGAACCGTATTTCATGACAATGCGACACAATATGTGCATATAAGGCCACAGTGGGCTAATGGCTGATGGGGTATATGAGAAGGTTAACAGGTTATTTGAGAGGCTACAGATACTGAAGATTGGGATCATTTGAATCTCTCTATACTGGGTTTTTCTACCCCGTACACTTTTCGTTTCTCCTTTAGAGGTCCGGTATATAGAGGATTGAATGCACCAGTTTCCCTTCACATAAACTTATAATAAACATGACGCCAATCCCCAGTTTCTGTTAAGCGTCAAGTATATAATTAAGCATAAAGCTCCCAAAGCAATAAGTAGTTTGGTAGGTAACAAACATATATGAGCAGCAGTGTTTTAAATGTCATGCTCTGTAATATGTTCTGATGCAACATGTTTGATGCAATCAGTTATTAAAAAAACCAGAGTACCAATTGTCCATATCTTACCGAGTTCTGAATTGCATAATTTACCAAAAGTCTTTTTGTACTATTGTGCAAAAGAATCGAGCTGTAGAATTATGGCCAATTTGGGTGCTTAGTCCAGTAATTATACTAGAGCTCGATCTGTCGTTCTGCCTGCTGGTATATGATTGATACCCGACAAGTCTTTGAGACACTAGACAGTGGTTCAGGTTATTGGCCCCGTCTGACAATTATTTCATCTAATCTCGATTTACTTTGTGGTGTGAAGGTGTTATGATTAAAAGGGTTACAGACACCAAATTTGTCTGCAGCTGTTCTACCCAAAAGTCAGCTGGTTTGGGATTCTTAGTTTGGTGCTGGTGTAAAATCCTTTATCAGTTCTAGCAATAAGAGCCTCATCACTATGCAATTCTGTACGATAACCTCGCGAATGAGAGTGTAGTATCGGTAATTACTACACGATCGTTATAGATATAATGTCCGATCGATAGCCCACTTTCGTAAGTGCCCGTAATTTTATCTCACCCGAGCTAGCAACACTTTGATAATTATAACCTTGATTTTTCAAGCTTTATTTCCTCCTTAACCAGTTGCATTGTGTTGCTGGCACGTACTGACAGACTCGACCATTAACATCTTCCCAACCTGAAAGAGATTGTATTGCACTGGACTGAAGTGCGCATATTTCACTTCGATCCATTGATTTTATGAAAAAGCTGGTCGAGTCGTGGGATTGCATGTAAACAATTTTTCACCTCTCCCAAACTTTATTTGCTGTACTTACGAAAAGCACTAAATATATTATATTGTCAATTTGGGAAAGTGATTCGGGACAATATAAGGAGATCATATTGACAATAAAAAAAATAATTCGTGAAATTTCTTCATACCACCATTATCTCTGTCAGGATCGAGAAGCGTGCAAAACACATTAGCCGATTAGAAGAAGGAATATGACAAGTTGGATGGTATGGAGTTTGTTGGTGGTGATGTGCAGAGCGGCAGGGGGAGAGTCAGCTGAGGATCAAGTGGTAGAGTTTGAGGACAGCAATGATACAGATCCTTTTGTGGATGACTTTGAGGATATTCCGTACAGGGGAAATATCCCGTCCTTCATCTCGGTTAGAACTTATTTTAATTGTTTGAAAAAACTAAATAGTTTTCCATAATAAAATGGATTAAGCTAAAATTTTGATTTTTTTTGAAATTTGTAATTCAAACCATTTCTGAAATACATGATTGTATTTTTCAGCCGCTTCACTACGGTATAGTATTAAAAGCGAACCTGAGAGATTGGGTTTACTCCGGAAGGACGCACGTGCTTATAAACAGTAAGTTTAACACCATAAGAATGTTCCAAAACTGAAGAGATACAAGGCTGGTGCAGGGCCGGTGCAGGGCCGGTGCAGGGCCGGTGGCAAACCACACCATCAATCCGTGCAGCTGTATTCTGTACCACAAAAACCTGCAATATTTAACTTTACGTTAACTGCAAAATTATATTGTTGCGTGCACACTTCCTCTCATTTAGAACATTTCCACTTCAATTTAAAATATTACGTTAACCACGTCATGTGTTTGCCCTGCTTCCAGTACCATGACCCCTGTCACAATTTCAGTCACTGAGCCGTGCGACCAAGTGCCTATTCACTCTGCTGGATTAAACATCAGCGACGTTTTCATGGCGACATACGAGCCGGAGGGGCGAGGCAGGAGAGTTCCGATCATGCAAGTGGTAGAAGACAAAAACCAAGAACTATTGCGGATTTATCCCCGTAGAATTCTTTATTCTGGAGTATATCAGCTGTTCATTGATTTCAAGAACGAGTTTGTTTCTGATTTGTTTTGGGGGTTTTATCAGAGCAGTTGGACGGATGAAAAGGGCTGGAAGAACAAAATGGTGACCACCCAGTTTTCACCTTACTGGGCTCGACACGCCTGGCCCTGCTACGATGAACCTAAATATAAGGCAACGTTAGTAAAAAATCAATCCTGTAATAGTTTTAGCGTTTGAGTAATGCAAGGTAGACAAGGTGAAAATGTGAACTTCAGAAAGCTCATTTCAAAACTCAAAATTATCAAATGACCACTTTATTGGTGTCATGCTTTGTTAGAAAAGAACAACATTCTCAATTTCAGGTTTAAGTTTTTCGTTGATCACGAGTCACAGTACTATGCCCTGAGCAACGGTGCTCAAGAGTCCAGAGAACCGATACGGTCGGGCTGGGTGCGGACCACTTTCGAAAGGACCCCTGAAATGAGCACCTACATTACTGCCATGATTATTACAAATTACAGGTACCATACCATTACCAACTACTCAACTACCACTATCACTACCAGCATGTATTTAAATAGGATCTGACATGTTACTTTTGAGTTGACATGATATTTCTGACTAGGCAATGGGGGAGGGGACTGGTGAATGAACTTCTAAAATTCTGGGGAAGTCAGATCACAATCTCATGTGGGGTATTCATTCATACTTTAAACTTAAAGAGCAACCATTTAAACTAAACACTAATTTAGCTGAGAAGTATAATTTATGACAGTATGACTGTAGGGATATCAAGGGAACGACAAAATCTGGAATTCCTGTTAAACTGTACGGGAGTCATGAAAAGCTACAGACCAGTCGGAGGATGCTTGACACAACTATAAAAACTATAGACTTCCTTGAAGAATACTTTGGGTAACGTTATATCTACTGTCTGCGTTTTACTTATTTTCTTGACAAATTAGCTAAAGAACGCATGATTTGCGCCGTATTCCGTACAGCCTAACCTCATTAGCAGCCCTCAACCTCTGATTTTTACAATCTTCTCATCATCCTCTCTCTACTGATAACGTAACGACCTCAAGGATATTTCAGGGTAGAGTACCCTATGAGCAAATTAGACGTGGTACCTGTACGGAGATTTGGGGTGGCTGCTATGGAAAACTGGGGTCTCATAACAGGTAATTCCGAATCACACCACACACGGGCCACCGGGCTGGACCAGTTTCTGCAGAATTCTTGGCTGTAGCTGATCTGCCATGACAAATGATGATTTAAGGAAATTTTACCCTGGAGCCAAACTGTATCCTGGATTTCGATTCTCGTAATTAGAAAGGCGTGATACTCAACATCAGTCAATAAATATCGAACTTTTAACACGTTCGACAAATTTTAACAAATTTGTCAAACTTTTGTCCAGTGGCCTGAACTTGTACAATCGAGCAGATTTGTTTTTTAAATCTCTCCATCAATGCAATGATCAACTATATGATAATGGTCAACCATGAGTTGACAGTCAAATGATAAACTTGTACAATTTAAATGAGTTAACAAGTGTTATACGCCAAAAATCACAGATAAGATTGGACTGACAGAACTATACTATTACAGTCCTTGATGTTTTTGATTTCATATTAAATTACCATTACTAGTTTGAAACGTACTGAAAAAAACGTATAATTTTATCTTGATTGCAAGGATCTTCACAACTTATTGAAGTATTAACGAGATTTGGTTTTCACACGTTCGCGTTTGCAACTTTCCCGCTCTTTTTCCAGCCTGCACAGTGCACATATTGATACAGATAAAATATGTTGACAATAATGAATAATGTGCATGATTTAAGTTTTTCGAATGTTTGGATATCATATTACGCTTATCTCATTGAGATTGTAGGAGAAAAATGTATTATAACCAGTAAAGCTAAGTACAAGAAATAAGATATTTCGATTATTGATTTGGATTTGGCGACAAAAGAAAACAGTAGGAGTATATTTTCTGAAATTCCAGAGTCGAAGACTTTCATGAGCTTCTAATTTTTCAATTTTTTTGAAAAGCAATAAATTAAATCAAGATTAAAACTCAAAGACAAAATGCTAACCTCTAAATTCTTCAAAAACTTTAAAGAATAGATCTGGTACATTTCCATCGATGTAATTCATGAAAAATTTTAGAGCCGGTTAGAAAGAGGGTTGCAATCTCGCGTTTCTTATTGTATTCTGGTCCTTAAGACGAGTATGGCCGTCAACATTTTTAAATTTTGCATTCTTTATAAACCCAAAAGACATACCTAGAATACCTAGCATATCAGTCACATCGATTGACTTGCGATTCTCGCGAATTCATTAACAAAGTTATTAAACTAAAAGGTTTCAGATTCAAATTTAACGGGGAAGCAATCTTGTGACAGAATAAATTAACTTTCTGCTCAGAAATTTGGCATTGACCCATTATATTCAAAGTTCGATCAAACCGACTTATTTGCACTATCACCCTGAAAAACGTTCACTTTTTTAACAAAGTTTATGCTCTCAGCTCGGGAAGACATTGCGAACTTTGACCCAACGGTTCACAGCGCACAGTGGGAACTCCAAGCAAGAGTCATCATGGCACATGAGGTCGCTCATATGTGGTTCGGTGATCTGGTTACACCGGTTAGTTTACTTTGATTAATAGCTTTGTTAACAGATTATTTTATAACTTTGTTCACAGATTTGTTTATACTTCTATAGCTTTGTTCACAGATTAACATGGTATGAAATATAAAGTATATGGTATATCTTAACTGTAAAGTTTTAAAGTCTGTAAATTTCAGAAATGGTGGGACAACATCATTCTCAAAGAGTCGACTGTCTCGTGGTTCATGGTGTTTGCTGCTGATGCAATCTTCGACGATTTTAACTTCAGTGACGAGTACATGGTCACGTACGAACTAATTGTGAGCATTATTGAAATTATACAAAGGTTAAAGCTTACATTTGTCGATTTCGACGAAAATGTTGAAAATTTGCAGGATATTAATCATAAATTTAGAGCTGGATATCAAACTCCAGCCATTCCTCCACTCAAAATAAGGAATGTAGGATCTTTATAGAGTGTCCAAATTTCAGAGAGGTATGGATAAAGACTCTAGCGTGAACTCTAGACCTGCCATAGCGAACCCAGAATCGCAGGACGAGGTTTGCAGGCAGATCAAGATTTAGTTTAGATGTTTACTTTGCTCTTATTATTATATTATTATATACTTATATATAATGACTATATATAGTCATGAAATACTAGCATATATATAATATATATATGTATATTATATATGTATATATAATATATGTATTATATAAATATTATATAATATATATATATATTATATATATATATTATATATATATATAATATATGCTAGTATTTCATAACCTTGCTAATGCCAGACATTACTTCATTTCTCGTGAAGTCGAGATTTTATAGAACAGTCGATGAGCACATGATTTTCAGATAATGAACTTGTTTGACGAGATAACGTATCAGCGAGGTGGTAATCTGTTCAGGATGATCTACCACATTATGGGTCCTGCGCCCTTCAAAGCTGCCATTCACAATTACTTATCAGAAAATGCGTTCAACACTGCTCAAATGACAGATTTGACTCAGGTACTGCAAATTTTTTCAGATTGTCTGTATTATTTTGCCGCCCAAATTTTAAATCACTGCTCTCGGAGATATCAAGGTTATGTACATTTATCTTACCTATGGTTCGTATTTCAGAATTTGCAAGACGAAGCCCCAGAATATGATTTAAAATCCTTGATAGAAAGATACACATTGCAAAAGAACTTCCCTGTGGTAAGAGTAATTCTAATTGTAATCATTGCATTAACGAAAGCAGAAAAAATTACGTTACATTATAAAAAGCTTTTCAAATTCTGAGTTTATGTCTGTATGTGGTTTATAAAATCCATGGTTCCCGCTTGCGCGTGTCACAACAAACTCCACACTTTTCAGTAAACTTATCAGTTATCCGAATTAAGACATTTTATTGTTGAAGTAATTTGATTATCTTGCACCTTATATTTGGTGGGTGTAGAGGTTCATGGGCACACGATACCGCAAAAACAGGAGTGGTGTAGGGTTTTAAAAGACATAATGATTACTGACATGCCGTACCACTTTATCTTTGGAATGAGAGGAGGGTTTATTTCCTCGGCCAGAATTTATCAAGAAGTTTCATAATAAGATTATCTGTACCTGCGGCCAGTTCAACTGTTAATATACCAGGTGGGAGGTGATGAACTTTAGTTATTTCGACACATAACAATATGGTGGTAGTTATTCAGGGCTTTGATTAATCAATTGGGTAATAATGAAAGCTGATTAATCGATATCACGTGTCATAACAATTATGGTCTACCTTCCTACCAGCATCCAGATCTGTAACACCCTGTATAGTAGTACATTAACTTCCATTAACTGCCATCAATTTACGGTTTACCCTTTGACGTACCATTATAATAGTAAGGTGTTATATTTCCTGGGTGGTCCAATATCTTAGTTCCGACAAGAAATGTTGCAACAGTTCTTCGCCGTTTGACAGCAGCATGCACGCTAATTTTAGTTCAACATTCCACATCAAATGTTAATCAACTCAAATTAGCATTCAATAAAATCGGCTAAAAATCAAAGAACACTGTGAATTGAGTAAATTGTGAATTAAATTCACTTCATAAGTTCATTATGCGGACCAGTACTAAGTGCAATATTTAATGAGGTGTCAGCAAGCCTGACAACTCACACCCAGCTGGTGGTGCAGCTCCATGTTCAGATATCTAAGTGGAACTCCTGACTCAGTAGTTCCACTTAGGTGCCTTGGAAGTCAGGGTTCGTGGACTCATGATGCATAAAAAACAATCCTATTAAATTCAAGTCACGTGTAAAATCTCATTATGTTATATAATATAGTTACACATTTCACTCGATTGCTCAATAGAAGCTTGTATGTAATATAACTGCAGGGTCAAAAGGGACAATGCACTCCTCAATATTTGATCCCTGATAATTTAAAGAAAAGTTTTCTGAGTTAAGGACAGAGACAGGATTCTAAATTTTGTTTAAAATAGAGGTTATGATTAGGTTGGAAATGATTTGGTTAGAGTAAGGTTCATGGTTTATCTTTAATTCTTTAAGTTATGGTGTCTTCGTTAGGATTTGTCATAACATATCACACCAAGAGAAGAACAACATTAAACAAGTACTTTTCACCACCTAACTCTGTCAGGTGCACGTAAAGATGCTGAATAGAACACACATACTAGTGACACAGGAGAGGTTCCTCTTCACTAACAAAGAAGCAGTGGATGACTCACCTTATAACTATACGTGGCATATCCCCTTTACTTACACCACCGACGCAGAGCGGGTCGACAAGGTTTGTAGAGGCATTTTGTGTTCCTGGTTGAAGCCTCATTGAGTGCGCGGCGCGGCACAGTAACGCATCGCGCTACAACATTTTGTGTTCCTGGTTTGCGATTCATTTGTAGTTCGTTTAATCTTTAGTCAGTGATTAAGTATAAATTGCAGGGCAGGACCAGAGAGTGGAACTGGAATATTAATTTTATTTATTCACCCGCATTTTCAGCTTCACCATTACGAAGAAAATGTTTTAACCCTTGCAAGGCTCACCCATGAGTCATGTCCCTTAATATGGTCAAACTTGACACTGTCAAGCGAATTTTAATTGCTGCTAAATAGCAAAAGTAACGCCCAGCCATTTTCCAACTCAACATCGGCGAAGGCCCATAATAGAACATAAATGTTTAAACACTTCCTCGATGCAATATTTGAATTTCAATCATAAACTAAAATTCATTTTTTCAGCTCAACAAAATCTAAAAATTGAGGCGAATAATCTCTTAGTCAATGCAATGAATGCTGATTGGTTGCCTTAATAATTACCTAAGGCCACTCCTTCAGGTACAAATCCTCACGGAGAGGGAGAATATAGTGGAACTTTCCAAACCAGCGACCTGGATCAAAGTCAACAACGACTTCAGAATGTACTACATAACTAACTACGATTTAGTTGGCTGGAAGAAACTTTATCACCAGCTAGTTGAAGACCACACGGTCTTCACCACAACAGGTCAGTTGAAAGAAGAAACACTCATTAACTCAGATAATTGATATAAGCTGATGCCTGATGATTAAGCTAAATGTTTGAGGGGGGATGTTAGGTGAAGGAGGGTTTAAACTTAGGTATCTGGAAGAAAGTTCCATCTCTTTAACGTTCTTAATCTCCCCAAACCATTATTAACTGACGGCGCCCATTACATCAGATAGGATACAACTACTATCTGACCTGCTAAACCTGGTGACAGCTGACAAGCTAGATATCACCTTCCCTCTGCAGTTCCTGACCTACATGAAGAAGGAGACAGAGTTTGGGCCCTGGAAGCTGGCTACAGAGCATTGGAACCACCTCATTAACCGCATGTCACCCGCAGAAAAGTTCGCCGCCAAGGTAAAGGTAGGATGAGCATGGAGCGTATTGTGAGTTAAGTGTGAATATCCGAGCAGAGCACAACTTACCGGAGGTGTCTTATATCTTTTATCATTAAACATTTTTATGGCATGCTCATAATGTTCACCATTTTGCCCTTTGACAATATTTTATCTATAAGAAATTGACATTTACCCCAACACGATTTTTCCAGATATATGCAAGAGATTTAATGGATGAAGCATTGAAGGAAGTGGTTAAATTAAATACCTCTTATAATAAACCAATCAAAGAAAGGTTGCTACAGTTTGTTTTGGTCGACACGGGGATGACAGTCGACCATCCTGTTGCTCACGAATTCATCGATAAGCTCGGGGAATTGTCAAGGTAATTGGGTTATGTATTTCTTGTTTTTATATTTATTATAACATCCGTTGAATTTCAGTAATCAAATCTCTCAGTTTTTCCTGATTTGAGCGACCTTACTGCCCACAGTTTAAATGGTCGGATTGTTCGATCATCATTACGCGACAAATAATGCGTAAAAATAATTTACTTGGACAAATGAGGACTTCGATACTTAATCATAAATTTTACCTATCAAATTATTATATTTATACTTTTACTATCTGCAGAGAGAGAACGTTTCCAATTTACTGGATAACCCGTAACCGACCCTATTTAAATTCTCATTAATATCCAAATCGACTCGTCTAGTTTACTGTTTATTAATAAATCGACACTCTCTTAATCTTTCAAATGATTAACGATAAATCACCGATATATTATAAAATGCTCACTTCAGTATCCATTAGTAAATATATTAATTAGACAATATCCCTGTCTAGTCATCGACTACTGATATATATTATCTTCATTAGTAAACATTATATATTAGTTAAGACTATAAATCTGTTCTTAAGAGAACTACAAATCACAATACCCACTTTTAAATAACGTGTTCTCAAGTAAATAAAACTAAAACTCCAATACAGCCAGAGTTGGAATTTGATAACAAGCTATAAAATCGAAAAAATGCTCAGGTGCTTGGTTTATGGTTAGAATTACATGACAAACATTATATTTCTTGCCCCTTTCTGGAATCTTTTGACAACAAATCCTGAGTCGTTCCACAGTTTGTTAAAGTGAAGGGCGACAAATCCACGCCTTTCGAACACTCTGTATTTATAACCTTGCTAACCTTTATCCCTAATCCCACCTTAACCTTCATTACATGCCCTGCCATAGCAGACATATATAGCTGTCAGTTACCGGTTACGAGCCATCATTTAGACCTACGGACCGTCAAGTACAGCCACATAATATATCCTGCAAGTACATGATCACATTCTGCAGAAACTGTATGATTATATACTTAATTTCTTGTCACATCTGTGTAGTATTCTAACAATCTATGCGGCGAACACTGACGTAGATTTTATTTTAAGTAACCGAGTAACGATTGTCGGCTATTTTAAGAAGTCTGTAGGTATACAGGTTATGTAATTTACGGTATGCGACAAGTAGATCAGGTCAAAGAACGGAGAGCCTTAGTAGAACTTAAGTTAACTGACAGGATTGCCTATATAGTATAATGATATCATTTGACGGTAGATAGATGGATAGATGGTAAGGTAGATGGATCGAGAGGGCTATTAAAATGAGATATTTATAATATTATATTCAAGTTGGAAATTCTCCAGTCAGATTTGTGCCGTGTGGGTTTACTGCCTTAAGAGAACATATAACGGAGAGAATTCTCAACTAATATTGACCATGATGGTACTTTGCGATGACTCTCTCAATCCAATTCAAAACAAAAATGTAGAAAATCACCCATGAGCTAAATCATATAGCGTACATGATATCAAGTTCATGATATCAAGATTGCGTATCCTTTGTTCATATTTATAATATTTTGCAAGAGATGGGACAGCTCCAGGAATACGAACCCTGGTGAGGACCGACCCACTGAGAAGAAAACGGTTCAACTTAAACTTGCTAGACATCAACCTACATTCGTACCATTGGGAAGGTAGACACAACAAGGGCCCGCAGAAGCAACTCCTGTTTAATATATCTGATGAGGAGGTCACTGGACCGACACAGGAGATGATAACAAAGAGCTCTGGGATATTTCCTTTTAACGACACTACACCGCCTTATCCCAACCCACAACCCCTTGACCCAGACTCTGGCTGGATCCCGGAGGAGAAGAATACGGAGGAAAGTATAGACTCGGAGCCAGCTACAAAACCGGGACCAGCTACGGATATGATCAGTTTTGATTGGGACAATATGTCTGATTTAACCTCCCCCTCTTTCCAAGACCCTCTAGAGAGAGAAAAGCGATCTAGTAATAATAGAAGACACTCATCAAGACGGAGATCGCAACAACAGTGAGGAATATGTGACATGATGCACGAGTAAGGGCTGAGTAATGCACGACAGTATTGCACACCTTAGTATTGCACCTTATTAGTGCACGTGCTAGTATTGCGCCTTATTATTGCACCTTATTAGTGTACGCTAGTATTACGCCTCAGTATTACGCCTTTGTATTGCACCTTAGTATTACACGATGGTATTGCACCTTATTATTGTACATTACTATTGTACGATAGTATTGCACGACAATATTGCACGACAGTACTGCACCTTAGTATTGCACGACAGTATTGCACGCTAGTTTTGAACGTCAATGATATTATGCGTCAAATGAATATTTATTTCATCTCATTCCTCTTAAATAAAATTCTTGCGACCGTAACAATTTTTGCATACACACATTATGTCTTTCAAAGCTGCATTGCATGAACATCCATACCCATTCCTCATAATCCTTCTGTAGAGGAGGAGTTCGTCAAGGTTTGTATGATCACCACTACCATGACCACAATCCACATAACCCATTAAAGAAAACATGAATTATCAATCGGATTTGCCTATATAAGTATATAAATTCAAATTTCAGATTATGCAATGAATGAGCATTTAAAATGAAGTATTTAACTATCTGTGATCTAATATGTGATATTGATCCACCTAGTTCACGTATAATGATGTAATGCATCGAATAGTTGGGATGAGTCACACCAAGAGTCAAGATAACGTAATTTGTACTCAGCTAGGCTTTACTCTAGAGGAGGATTGGCAAACGAAGGAAAAATAGCCAAAGTTTAGATTACGGTTGTATATTATTGCCCATTTCCCAGTACCTGCCCTAAATAAAGTCTTATTAACTCACAAATTATTTATAAATTTAATTGATGAACCAATCAGTGCGACATCAGGAGAAGGAACAGAACCAGGGATAGTGTATCTACAGAAGCTCCGGAGAGCAAAGACAGATAAGAAGTATTGGACTGAACTGCTTCATACATTACCCAGTATGAAGAACCCTGATGATATCAGAGACACGTATTGGATATTGTGTGATACTAACAATGTGTGAGTTTTATTACTTACTTAAGTTATGAGTGATAGTTTGTAATAACTAAAGGTTGGGTATGTAGTCCCAGTAAGTTTGGGAGTAGTCAAGATCTAAACGCTGGAAAAGTAAGTGACAGATGGATGGTATTGAATATAGGACTATAAAAAATTCCAATTACCATTCCAATTACTCCAATATTTTTTGATGAGATACTCAATGTTACAAATCAAGTTAAAAGTGTTGTTTATTTCAGAACGGCTTTGAAAGCTCTGTTAGAAAATTCCCTCCAAGGATCAGAAGACACCCAACAAGAAGCTCTAGACATTATCAGCAAAACCAAACCTGAGGTTGTCTGGAAGTTCTTCAAGAAAAACTACGATAGGTACTACCAGGTAAGATACAGTTTCATAATGTGATGAGGAATTTTTTTTCTTACTGTCATTCAAGTGCGGCTCGAGAGCAGGCAACTATTTACTCGCTTATACAAACTTCTTCCCCATTTTTAATTAAATTTATTCGTTTATCTTCCAGACGCCACTGAATGGTAATTATCAGATTTGAAAATAAGCATAGAGTTATAAAATGCCGGGTCTAAGTAACAGGCCCACAATTTCCAAGATTAAAGTTATTTCTAATTGTACCTACTTAAGTACTTAGCATTGCATAACTACGAGACGTGCGTTGATCATCGGTTGAAAAGTCGCTTGAAACATTATCCTGATATCGAAATTCTGGATGGTTTAACCAAATTGCTAGCTTAAGTAAGCTTATCCTTAATATCCCTGTACTACAACATGTTTAAAGTTAGTATTCCCACTCACTGAGACTGTTATTATAATAATATAACCGTTAAAATTATCGCTTTTGATTGGTCCAGAGCACATGTCCTCGACAGGATTACCGTCTTTAAAGTAATTAGTTGGGTAAAGCATGTGGTCAACTGAGTTTCGCAGGAACCACCGAGTTTTTCCAAGAATTGTTCCAAGGGTTTAATTTTAACTGAAAACCTCTAATTTGTATACTATAATATATGTATAGTATTGTATAATAGTTTTAGGAGTAACCCTTGGTTAAAAGGATAATATCCGTTGAAATGAAGTAAATACACTAAGACAACTTCACTTGACAGGGTCACTGATATCGAGCATTTTTGTAAGATATTGTATAAATATAAAATATCTATACAGAACTGTTATAGTACATTTCCCCTTCTCCACATCCCATTATAGTGCAAAGTTTTTACCGCTTATATTTGTTTCAGCTGTATGGAAAGTCGCAGTTTACTATGGCGTACCTTATACAAATCGTGACCGAAATGCTTAACACAAGTGACATGAAAAATGATGTCAAGTCATTCTTTAAGTCAAACGATCCCGGCACCGGAGAACCTGTAAGTTAATATACTGATTAATTGAGTAATTAACCAATTCAAAAGTTAAAATCAATCATGAAATTAATTATTATATTAGTCACTTTATGCACAGATTTTTGTCACAATGCAAGAACTATTGGATCATCTGAATCAATTTCTAGATCAAATTCGTTTGTCTACTTACCGAGAAATTCAGAATCCAGTTTTCTCACTGGAAGTGGATGTAAAATAACCTGTCACAATATAGTATAGGTACCCTTAACCCAGTATTGGTATCAGAACTCCAAGGGCAACAATAAACTGCGACTTTGTAGCGTTTTCCTTCAATAATTTGACAGTAATTTGTGAACATAACTGCTTCCCCATCTCAGGGTATGATGGCAGGATTAGAGCAGATAGCAGAGAACATTAGATGGAAGAAGAATCACAGACACAAATGCAGAAACTTCTTCTTTACATACGCCAGGAAACATGCTAAGGGTAAAAATTAAAGAATTTTCGAAGATTTGTGCTTTGCGAATGTGAGCCCATGGATCTGGGCGCAAGTGGAATTTATGCATTATTTATCAGAAGCATAATAAATATAATGGAAATGGAGGGATTGTGACATTTTTAAACTGTCGGTGATAAAACATTATAATATACTTAAACAGCTAAATTATTTCAGATTAGGTTTGAACTGATTAAGATTTACTTTACAATAAATGAATATATTCAGTAAAACCCCGATTGACCGCGCCCCAATTTGCCGCAAACCCCAATTTACCGCGGGTGTTTCCTTTCCTCAAACTTTGCGGTAAATCGGGGTTTTATTAATATTGTATTTGCGAAATTTAATTATCTTGATGATACATCATTATATCAATTATTGCAATTACTATTGTACATAACAGTAGTTTTAATTTATACACCAATTTGTACTGTTACTGTTACATGTTAGCCTATTCAAAGTGGCCGCGAGCATTTGGTTTTAGGGTTTTATAATATTTGTTGCCTTTTTTAGGGGTTACTTTTATATTCAAATTGATTTTTATTCAGATTTTACCCTCCACATTTGATCCTTACAGTGATTAACAGGGTCGATTACTGGGAGTGGATATATAAGGATGATGATTTATCACTCTACACTCGACTGTCACGTGACTTTTTCAACCTGGCCCTGAACACTGAACTACATTTCGAAACCCTAACCCTCTAATCTGATCCTAACCCTAACCCTAAGTCTAACAATAACATATGCTTAAACCCAAACGATAAATTAGACCAACTTCCTTCTACCGTCGATAGTTTTTCCCAAATATCTCGCCAGGGGAGCACTTTAACCCCATGTCATGGGCCGGGTGATTCGGAATCAGCGTCCGAAAGAAAATCTCGAAGATCGAGTGTAGAGTGATTTAGCACGCTCGGATAAACATTAAACTGTTTTTATTTTCATATCATATCATACGTATACAAATTTGTTTTTATGTGCATGAAGGAAATAGGAAGATACAGCGAAGACGTTTTCGTTAATTTGACTTTATGGCAACTTTAAATTTCCTCCGTCATCCTAGACGCTTCAATTTCAAATTAAACAAACTAGTCCTTCAAAATTTAAACATGATTATGACTATATTTGGCGTTTTTTAGCCGTCGTTTTGTAGATGTTGCAACGCCCGTTACGCCCTGTTGCCTACCTTGAGTGAGGAACTAATCCGCAAATAAATGAAACAATAAAATATTATGAAATGAAAACAAAAATTAAACAAACTAGAAATCACAGCAAAACATAGATAACAAAACTCATCTAAAGAAAATGAAGTTGAAAAATGTATTAAATTTCATTCTCCAACCACTCTCGAATCATGTAATTATTTTTATTTCAATAAATAACACAATAGAATGAAATATTGAAAATAAATAACGCACTTGATCTCATAACACCACACAATACACATGCAAGAAAATTAATATAGATTTACTAAATTACATTCCACTTCTCATCTCTTTATGCTATCTCTAGTTCTTTTATATACTCTACCAATGTATTTGATATCGTAACAGTACACGGTTGAACTTTTTATCTCATAAAAAAGCAAAAAAATAAATAAAAAATACAAGTCTTTAGTCTTAAATCCTTATTCTGACAAGGATCATCCCCTGGTTTATCTGAGAGACTATTTCTGGGCGACCGAGAACTGCACACTCGGCCGAGGATTGATTTATCAAAAGCATTGAAAAGCATGACGTAATCATGACTTGTCATGACGTCACGCTAGCAGTTGGCGCACCGCCAGAGACGTGATTGTTCGTTTCTCGCTCAAACAACACCGGATTGTCTATGAGATACTGGGTGAAGCTGTTGATATTGTTGATGTCCGCGAGGGTAGTGATTGTGTGTCGGCTCCACGTTAGGTTTGGACCAATTACGATTGAGAGATTTTGTGACGTCATAAGGTTTTGCGAGGAGCTGCTTACTACCTGAAGAACAATATATTGTTACTTATTATGGACATTCTATAATCACTAAAATAATAAAAGGTTGACATTTGAAACGGCTAAAACTTACGAAGAGGTAAAGGTTCTTAAACAAAGTAACTTAAGAATTCTAGAGGCTAGTAAAGTATCATACTTGCGACGAGAATTAAAAATTTCAATCATTATAGGAATTTTGTTTTACAATAATCAGGAATATGACAAATTCTCATTTCCTTAACTCACCTTATTTAAAAAGAGCATGAGAGCTCGGACACAACAGTAGTGAACTGGAGGTATACTTTCTAACAGCTTCTTGCTCAGTAAAAGCTGGGTTTCAGCTGTAAACTCTGGAAATGGAAGTCGGATTAATTTCATTGCGATTATATAGAGTAAAAATTAGCGAACCTTGTTCAAATTAATAAATTTGATGGATTAAAGTTAAACGTGGTCAGAAGCCCAATACAAGAAATTTGTGCAGTCTAAGCATGTTTTTAAATTGATAATGATAGTAAACAATAACCAAGCTCAGACAACATGCCACTCCAAAACTTTGAACATATCACGAGGAAATATGGACAGAACTGATACGAGATTGGGGACGGGTTCTATAAACAAACAAACAAAGAATAACGTACCGTTCCATGAAGAGATAGTAGGGTACGCCTCGAATGTGAGTAAAGGGATAGAGAGCTCACGCAGATATGTCTTCAGTGCCGCAGCTGTAAGAATGAGTAATGAGTAATAATGAGTAATGAATATTATGTACCTGTATTCATTTCTTAAACATCTTTAGGTTCTGGTTAAGGTAATCTAGAAGCACACAACTTTTGGTGACCTTGAAATAACTATAAAAGATTAAAGAAGATAACACTAACAGATTAAGTATAATCTAAAAGAACCCAGGTTATAGCTGTTGGTAACTATAATAGGAGATAACAGATATCAGATTTAGTAGAAACCTACCAATAGTGTGGGGACAGTAGTTGTCGAGGTCTATACTCTGACCAGTATTGTAGCACTCTTTAATAGCTTTCAACTCAGTCGCATTTCCGCATCTTCTGAACAATCCCTCCTCTGTGATGTTCTCTGGAGTGAAAACTGCGTTAGTTTCGAGCACCTATTGTGACAAATCACAACTACAGACTAAACGCGTAATTAATAATATGGCTCTGCAGTCTGCAATCTAAGAGCCATGTTCGAAGTGATGAACCAAGAAAGAAATTTTAAACCATTAAATGTAAATTAATCAAACAACTCACTGTCCAAAGAGAGAAGGTCAATACAGTCAGAAATAACTTGTGGCACCTCGTCAGTATCGAGCAGCGTGCCCCCAAACACTCTCATGTACCCCGGCTGAGAGAAAGCGTGGATGTCTGACAGCCCTTGATCGAACTTTCCACCACAGTTAGCAAGTCCTGTGGTGTTAGTCATGTTGTCTACTGACCGAGCTCGCAGGTTCTTATCGTGCCTGAAAAGATGGGCGTGTAAGTTATTGTGCTATTTGATTGGTACCTGAATTATTTGGTTAATGGATACAAAATTATAACTGATCTGCAGACTGCAACGAGGCAATAATAGACGGCGACTGTTAAAGATTTATCACAAGACCCACTGGCACTACAAGCTAAATATAGCCTAAATATTGATAAGATCAGACAGTGACTTCTAGTTCTACACCCCTCCCATCCACTGTAATAGTGAGACCCACCTTCTTCTTCTGTATTTCATAAGTCTGCTACACAAAACATAGTATTTGCAGCACTTCGAGTCCAGGAGGATGGACACGATCTTGTTGTGCTTTAGTGCAATTGCTGCGGTCATGTTGCACATATCTAAAATACAACGGGTAATTCTCACTGGACACGAAAAAGGAACACTCTGAATGCGTAGGATGATAGAATGTGAGCTTTATAGCACGGACAATGAACATACAACGTAATGTCACGTGGTACAGGACGCAATGATTAAGTTGTCAGCTGGCGCCCTTGAACTTAAGGACGTATACGGTAATAAAGCAGAAAGCTTTCTAGTAAGACACAGTCAATAGTACGTCGAGGGGTAACCAGAGAGAGCATTTTAACCATATATAGATCTATTAAAAATAATGTGCCATCGCCCATTACTTTTAGTCTATCCGAGTGGGATTAAATCTAAATATAGTGCTATTCGAAAACTCGAAAGTTTTTGCAAGCAGCTGGTGTCGCGACAGAAGGTTTTAATTTCCACCTAAAATTCGTTAGGACATGAGCCTATTACGAGAGCGCTACAATTACCACAGCAATGAAATGGTAAAAGCAAAGGACTGAACAGTGCAAGTAAGCATAGAGTAAACACTCTTCAACGGTTGTAGCCTCCAGCCGTCACAAGTAAATACCACTTACAAATAGCGAGGTGTCGCGTGGGGTGGATAACTTGGCTCATGTCCACCACCACGCGTAGTTGAGCGGGGGGTGGTGGTTTCTGGGCATGTTTGACAGATCTGGAGATGCCGTTATTTGTAAATTCCACGTTCAAATAAACCGTCAAATATCTCCGTTTATTGATTACCTAACTTGTCTTATCAAGATGTTAAATAGAGGATCAGACGAAGTCTGTAAACGTCATATCATCAGATAACTTCATCAAATTATTTAATTTCGTATCTATGCCTTATGACACAACTTCGTTCATTGACATCATTGAACTAAACGGCTATAAAATTTACTTTGCATAGTAACTGCATCAGTAATACGTTGAGGAAGTGATATCATCATATCAATACAAAGTATTAAATTAATATTAGAATTCTTCAACCTTCAAGGCAGAATTGAAGTGACACTGACAAAGTGGTTTAGGAAGTCAATAATATAAGAAGTCAGTGGTGATCCTGACAAGACGGTCTTAACGGCTATAAAACTTATGGCTTCAAAATCAGGCTATATACTTACTTTGTTACTTTGTAGGGTTTCATAGAATCCTCTATCGGGCCATCGAAAAAGTCGACCCCCCCCCGGACAGTGTAGAAACTGTTTTATCACCACTCCAATCAAGCAAGGAGTTTCCATTCCGACGGCTGTATCCTGGAGCTGGAGGCTCGTCCGGAAATGACTTCACAAAGTTCGTTAAAGCTGCTTTGAATTGCATAGGATCCTCGATGGTGTGCATATGTGTTGGGATTACATTCCATAATCGAGGTCCAGTGACTGCAAATGAGTTGTCGTGTAGTGCTTGATTACGTTGACTGCTGGACTTAGCTATACTGGGCACAACTGCTTTTTGACCATGTCTGAGAGTCACCGAGAACTGGATACCAATATCATTAGGGCACTTGCAATGCAGAACTTTCCACATGTTGATGATTAAATACCGTTCTCTTCTTCTTTGCAATGACATCAGATCTAGGGCCTTTAATCTCTGCCAGTAGTTGAGGTGCTGGGTGCCATCTATTTTCGATGTAAACTTACGCTGAATCCCTTCTAGCTGTTGGATGTCCTTGTTCTTAGAGCAATTCCACAGAGGACAGCAATACTCCAGATGGCTTCTAACGAGAGACTTGTACAGAGTCATCATGGTGGCTTTGTCTCTCGTTTTGAACGCACTTAGCACCCAAGAAGCAACTTTTCCTGCGCGTTCAGCTATCCTGTTGACGTGTGGGGTCCAGGACAAATCAGCGGAAACTGTCACTCCTAGATCTTTCACCGTTTGAGTGGGGTACAGCATGTTTCCGTTAGACACTTCATATGTTTGAGCTTGGATGGCGAATGGATGATCAAACAAGGAATTCTTTGGACAATGCTTGTGAACAAGAAGCTCAAACTTATCCTCATGAAGGGCCATGTTGTTGCACTTAGCCCAATTAACAACAGAGTTGAGATCATCCTGCAGGACATCTTTGTCGGCCAAACTGTAGATATGCTTAAGAATCCTAGTGTCATCAGCAAAGAATCTGATGACAGACCCTTTAACACATAGCTTCATATCATTTATGAACAGAATGAATAACAGTGGCCCAAGAACGGTGCCTTGTGGAACTCCACTGAGGATTGCGGCAGCAAACGATGATACACCATCTAACACAACACATTGCTTCCTTTCAGTCAGGATGTAGCAACTGCATCAATAACGAGCGGAGGAAGTGATGATGATATCGATACAAAGTATTAAATTAATATTAGAATTCTTAAATGCAGACTCTGACAAGGCGGTGTTTAAGATTAATTTGTGAGAAAATGTAATGGTTTTATGAAAAATTGGTAGTTAGGCTGACTTTACTGTTACAGTGCAGTTGAAAGGGTCTATGATTCGAACTTTGAAGTTAAAGAAAACTAAAAATACAAACCCAGTTGACTATGATCAGACTAGCTGAATACTATTGGGCCCGGAGAGGGAGACTACGATCAGACTAGCTGAATACTATTGGGTCCGGAGAGGGAGACTACGATCAGACTAGCTGAATACTATTGGGCCCGGAGAGGGAGACTACGATCAGACTAGCTGAATACTATTGGGCCCGGAGAGGGAGACTACGATCAGACTAGCTGAGTACTATTGGGCCCGGAGAGGGAGACTACGATCAGACTAGCTGAATACTATTGGGCCCGGAGAGGGAGACTACGATCAGACTAGCTGAATACTATTGGGTCCGGAGAGGGAGACTACGATCAGACTAGCTGAATACTATTGGGTCTGGAGAGGGAGACTACGATCAGACTAGCTGAATACTATTGGGCCCGGAGAGGGAGACTACAATCAGACTAGCTGAATACTATTGGACCCGGAGAGGGAGACTACGATCAGACTAGCTGAATACTATTGGGTCTGGAGAGGGAGACTACAATCAGACTAGCTGAATACTATTGGGCCCGGAGAGGGAGACTACGATCAGACTAGCTGATTACTATTGGGCCCGGAGAGGGAGACTACGATCAGACTAGCTGAATACTATTGGACCCGGAGAGGGAGACTACGATCAGACTAGCTTAATACTATTGGGCCCGGAGAGGGAGACTACGATCAGACTAGCTGAGTACTATTGGGTCCGGAGAGGGAGACTACGATCAGACTAGCTGAATACTATTGGACCCGGAGAGGGAGACTACGATCAGACTAGCTGAATACTATTGGACCCGGAGAGGGAGACTACGATCAGACTAGCTGAATACTATTGGGCCCGGAGAGGGAGACTACGATCAGACTAGCTGAATACTATTGGGCCCGGAGAGGGAGACTACGATCAGACTAGCTGAATACTATTGGGCCCGGAGAGGGAGACTACAATCAGACTAGCTGAATACTATTGGACCCGGAGAGGGAGACTACGATCAGACTAGCTGATTACTATTGGGCCCGGAGAGGGAGACTACGATCAGACTAGCTTAATACTATTGGGCCCGGAGAGGGAGACTACGATCAGACTAGCTGAATACTATTGGGCCCGGAGAGGGAGACTACGATCAGACTAGCTGAATACTATTGGGTCTGGAGAGGGAGACTACGATCAGACTAGCTGAGTACTATTGGGCCCGGAGAGGGAGACTACGATCAGACTAGCTGAATACTATTGGGTCTGGAGAGGGAGACTACGATCAGACTAGCTGAGTACTATTGGGTCCGGAGAGGGAGACTACGATCAGACTAGCTGAGTACTATTGGGCCCGGAGAGGGAGACTACGATCAGACTAGCTGAGTACTATTGGGTCCGGAGAGGGAGACTACGATCAGACTAGCTGAGTACTATTGGGCCCGGAGAGGGAGACTACGATCAGACTAGCTGAATACTATTGGGCCCGGAGAGGGAGACTACGATCAGACTAGCTGAATACTATTGGGTCTGGAGAGGGAGACTACGATCAGACTAGCTGAGTACTATTGGGTCCGGAGAGGGAGACTACGATCAGACTAGCTGAGTACTATTGGGCCCGGAGAGGGAGACTACGATCAGACTAGCTGAATACTATTGGGCCCGGAGAGGGAGACTACGATCAGACTAGCTGATTACTATTGGGTCCGGAGAGGGAGACTACGATCAGACTAGCTGAATACTATTGGGCCCGGAGAGGGAGACTACGATCAGACTAGCTGAATACTATTGGGCCCGGAGAGGGAGGCTACGATCAGACTAGCTGAATACTATTGGACCCGGAGAGGGAGACTACGATCAGACTAGCTGAATACTATTGGACCCGGAGAGGGAGACTACGATCAGACTAGCTGAATACTATTGGGCCCGGAGAGGGAGACTACGATCAGACTAGCTGAATACTATTGGGTCCGGAGAGGGAGACTACGATCAGACTAGCTGAATACTATTGGGCCCGGAGAGGGAGACTACGATCACACTAGCTGAATACTATTGGGCCCGGAGAGGGAGACTACGATCAGACTAGCTGAATACTATTGGGCCCGGAGAGGGAGACTACGATCAGACTAGCTGAATACTATTGGGTCTGGAGAGGGAGACTACGATCAGACTAGCTGAATACTATTGGG